TTAAGTAGGGAAGGAGTTTCAACCAAAACGAAAAACCGCGCCCGAGTGTTGAAAATCCTTCTATGCGACCGCATAGAAGGAATCTATGCGGTCGCATAGATCAAAAAGTTTGGGCTCATTGAATCCCTGGAGCCCTCTATGCGACCGCATAGAAGGTTACACTATGCGGTCGCATAGAGGTAACCATCTATGTGGTTTGTTCAATTTGGTCCCTGAACTTCTTTGTTGCTTCTCTTGACTTCTTTCTTCGATTTCTTCATCTTTTCAACAAATTTTATCTTCCAATTGATGATTGATACCATCAATTCTTATGCCCCTCATTCGGCATATCTTTTGAGTATTTACGCTTTAGTCCTCCAACTTTCAATTGTCTTCATTTCAGTCCCTCTTCAATATTTTCTTCTTCCATTCGTTTTGCTTTGTCATTGAGCTCATACTTGGCATGTCTTCCCTCTCGTTTTGCATTTAGCTCAACTTTTCAATATTTGCACCTTTGGTCCTCGAACTATCAAATTGTTGCGTTTTGGTCCTTCTTCGGCTCTTTTCTCCTGAATTCCACAATTTCCATTGAATTACCTACAATGCATAAATTTAACTGGATTAAGTCACAATTCAACCATTTTATCCATGTTTAAGTCATGTTTATGATCCAAATAAGTGTGTAAAAACACACTTATCAGCATCCTCCTCCGAAATAGCCAAAGCAATAATTGGGGGGGGGGAACATATGGAAGAGGCCAGACAGCCCCGTAGACACATCTGTACATTGGGGAGCATCGGATTACCCCTCTAAGCTAAAGGGTGCCGACCTGAAAAGACTTAGGACTGAATATAGGATCCCTGATAGCGTAGATCTGATCCTGCCCGAACCTGATGAGCGGGCCTGCTACCCTAGGCTAGGGTGCGTAGCAATTAGCAAGGTGATTCTTAGGGCTGGCTTTAGGCTTCCGATCCACCCATTCTTCCGTATGATACTTAGGTCGTATGGCTTAGCTCCTACCCAATTGAACCCGGACTCCTGGAGCTAAATGGTGGGCTCCTGGATGTTGTGGAAAGAGGCATCGCTTGGGGTAGAGATGCCCTTCTCTTTTTGTCAGACCCTCTATATCCCCAAGGTGGCGGCTGGGGGGGTAAGACTAGGGGCTGGTATTACCTGACCTCATGGGGTTTCCCACACTCCATTCGTGCTTGATCTGTCGAGCTCCATTAAGGAGTGGAAGAGCTCATGGTGCTAGGCTGTCGGGAGATGGGACACGATGGAGGGGGACCCCTGGCGCCTCTTACGATCCCCACGAAGTATTCAACACTTAGTGAGTGCTGTTGTTTTGTGTTTTCCTTTGTTCGTCTTCGGTTCGGATTGTAACTAATATTTGTGTTCTTTTGAAGGTACTCTTCCTCTGTGTGAGCTTTCCACCGATGACTTCGACATCATCTGCATTATCTATCAGCTGCCTCCGAAGAAAAGGTCATACCACCAGCTGATCAGGAAAAACATCCACTTCGTAATGCACGACTTGATGGCCTCTCAAGGTAAATGTCCCGAAGTGAATGCCTTTCAGTACTTTCCAAACTCTTTACACTTGTACTAATTTGCTTGTTCCCTTGCAGATAACTTTAACAAGAAGCTGCCTCTGAGGCCAGACTTCAAAACATCCAGAAGATAATGGCAGAGGCGAGAGCCTGAAGACCTCCTTCTCGACGTACAAGAAGCAGATGGAGGATCTTGTGGATGCCAGCAAAAGGCTCCAGCCTCCGATTGAGGAGGAGGTGGCGGAGGACCCAGACGCAAACTTGCTGCGGAAGGGCAAGAAGCCTGTTGCCCCATCGAAGCGCCCAACTGTGGCGAGGTCGCCTCCGGTTCTGAGGCAGACTACCATTCCTACCGTGGGTAGCCATCCCGGAGAGGACGCCTGCCCCATCAGAGGCTTCCCCTGCCCCAACCACATTGCCAGTAGCCACTGTGCTAATTACCTAAGTGCTGGGGCAGTCAAAGAGGAACAGAGCCCGTCCCTCGAAGGAGGTGGACTTTTTGGGCACCAATTCAGAGGAGCCAGTGAAAGAAGTGCTGGAGGCTTTTCCTTCGGAGACGGCTGTAGTGGAGGTGGTTCACAATAAATATTGGACCGAAGAGTGGAGAGACCACACCGCCTCATGCACCGTCTAAGACTTGGTCGCAGTGAACAATGCATGGATAGCCTGGGCTCTCAGCACGAGCATCCAACTCGAAGGCTTGGTGAAAGACCTGAATACTAAGAGGGAAGATCTCGCCAAGCACCTCGAGGAGGCGATGCAGTATGAGTACGCAGTGAGGGAGGCTTGAAAGAGAAGAAGGCGAGAAAGGAAGTCGAGACCTAGCTGGCCACCGGCCAGGGAGAAATAGAGCGGCTGAAGAAGGAGCTCAATGAAGTGGAGTGCTAGGTGACTGCTATTACTAGAAGAGTGGATCATGTAAACGAGCACCATCAGCTTGCCACAGAGGCTCTGGAGGCCTCAAATAAAGAAAAGGCGGAGTTGAGGCAGAGGGCGGATGCCCAAGCTGAGGAGATCGCCTCCTTGAGGGAGGAGCTTAAGTTGGCAGGGGAGGTGGCTGTGCAGAACTTCATTGACCACTTCGAAGAGCATCCCATGTACGATGATTTTGCAAACTTTTGGTCATCTTGGAGTGCCCAAGGACTATTGGGGCGGCTAAAAGAGGTCCACCCCACTCTAGACATATCTTCATTAGAGTAAAAGTTCGGTGGGCCTATTGGAGGTCAGCTTGATAGGTTCGTAAAGAACCCTCCAAAGGCCCCTGGGACAGGCGAGGCGGAGGTCGGGGTGGAAGATGCCCTAGTAGAATAGAGTTAATCGATCTTTGTAATGGTTTCGGTCTCTTTTGTAATCTAATTCCAAATGAATGAAATGAATTTTTTTTTATCAAGTATTGTTGCTTCTTCTTTTCTATTGTGTTGAGCTGTTTACACTTAAGTATATGAATGACAACCACTTAAGTAAACATTAAGCGCCTCTTACCAATAACCAGTTAATAACAGAAGATCGGATCAATTAAAATATTGAAGAACTGAGGTAACAATTTACTAACCAATGTAACAAACAACTAAAGTATCATTACTTAGAGGAGTTACATCACTCTTCACTAAGGCATTTTCAGCACTTAGTAAGATAGGGAAGTTAAATGAGATCGGATCATGATACACATTTACTAGACAACATTGAGATTGGATCGGAACACAAGCTCATCATTGATAGTACTTCCTCAAATGTTCGATATTCCATTGATGAGGTAGTGCTTTTCCTGCCATGTCTTCAATTTCAGAAGTGCCAGGTCAGGATTCCCTGCAGATGCAGTAAGGACCCTCCCAATTCGGTCCCAACACTCTGGACCTGGTTGGCTTTGATGATTGGAAGACCCTTCTAAGCACGAAGTCCCCTAGACGAAGAGTCCGATTTCTGACCTTGGAGTTATAATAGTGGGTCATCTTTCTATGATACTTTGTCAAGTTCACCTGGGAGGTATCCCTCATTTCTTTAAGGAGGTGGAGTTCGCTCATTCGAGCCTCGTCGTTATTGATCTCATTGAAGTGTATTCGACGGTGCTATGGGACTCCTACCTCAATTGGGCTCATGACCTCGGCTCCGTAGGTCATTGAGAAGGGTGTCTCCCCTGTTGCAGTTCAGCTAGTTCGTCTGATGGCCCAGAGGACGTGGGGAAGCTCATCAACCTAAACCCCCTTCGAGGTGTCAAGCTTCCTTTTCAGGGTATGCTTGATAGTTTTGTTTACTGCCTCAACTTGCTCGTTTTCTTGTGGGTGATGAGGCGTTGAGAAATCCTTCTTTATGCCCAGTTCGTCACATAAGTCTCGCATTTTCTTGTTGTCGAACTATCTCCCGTTGTCGGACACTAAGGAGTGGGGAATGCCGAACCTACAAATGATGTTCTTCAAGATGAATTTTGTAGTATTCGCCTCAGTGATCTTGGCAAGAGGTTTAGCTTCGACCCATTTGGTGAAGTAGTCAATGGCGACAATGGCAAAAGTTGCACTTCCTCTTCCTTTTGGGAGTGGACCAATGAAATCGATGCCCCATTTGGCGAATGGCCAAGGACTGGTTACTATGGAGAGGCTCTAAGAAGGCTGCCTTTGAATATTTGAGAAGCGCTGACACTTGTCACATTTCTGGACAAACTGGCAATATCCATTTTCAGGGTCAACCAGAAGTAGCCTGGTCGGAGTACTTTGTGTGCCAGAGCCGTTCCTCGGGAGTGATTCCCGTAGATTCCCTCATGGATTTCCTTGAGTATATACATAGCCTCTTCGCCTCCTACACATCGGAGAAGTGGCGAGGCGAAGCCTCTTTTGTAGAGGACATCTTCTTGTAGGACAAAGTGTGCAGCCCTTCTTCTTAACTTCCTTGCCTTGCTTCTAGAAGCTAGTAGTGAATGATCCTTTAGATAGGCGATGATGGGTTGCATCCATAATGAGGTGCCTTCTATCCATAGCACCTCGTCACCTCCGGATATGTAGGGCTTTGACAAGTGTTCAATGGGGGCCAACCTTTAGTAGCTCCGAATCCTTGCTGTTGGCCAGTTTTGACAGGGCATCTGCATGAGTATTCTCTAGGCACGGGATTTAAATCAGCTCGAACCTTTCAAAATGAGGAACTAGGTCTAGAACCAATTTTAACTATGCAACCATGCTACTGTCCTTGGCCACGAAGTAGGGATGTAAGTGAGCAGAGCCGGCTCACGAGCTGAAATTTTCGGCTCAGGCTCGGCTCGAGTAAATCGTAGCGGGCTTTTTTTGGGCCCGAGTCGAGCCGAGCCAAAGCTCGACCAAAAAAATAGGGCTCGGCCCGAGCTTTGGCTCGGGCTTTTTACGATCCGAGCCGAGTCGGCTCGATTTTTAAAATTTTTTTTTTTTTTGCAAATTTTAATGACTTTTTTTCACATGCCAATTGTTGTAATGCAATTTGTTTAGTGTAGAAAGTAAAGAAATTATTTAATGACATTTTTTTTCACATTTTTTGAAAGAATTTAAAAATTGCATCATTTATTATTTATACAAATTACAAATTAAATAAAAGTACAACTTTCAAAATTATGTAATTTATACGAATAACAAAATAAATAAAAGTTACAAATTACAACCCTCCCCATTTTTCCGGGCTTGGGACCGACTACAATCAATGTAGGCGGAGTTAAAATTGTACACAAATAAAATATTTCGTGTACAATTTTTTGTGAATCAAATAAATTTAAAAAATACATTTTTTAAAGAAAAATAATTAATTTAAAAACTTACAACATCTTATGTTTGGATATGCTGCAACTCTTCGGCCATTATACTATCAACATGTTCTTGAACACATAATTTTGCACATTCCCAATCCTTCAAGTATATCAAAGCCTCCAATATATCTTCTTTTAGTCTTGATCGTTCATCTGATAAAATTCGACCACCTAAACTGAATGCAGCCTCCGATGCTACCGTAGACACTGGAGGTGTTAGTAGATCACGTGCAATTTTTGATACAATTGGATATTGCCTTTCGTTACATCTCCACCAATTTAAAAGGCTAAATTCTTGTAATTCATTCGGTTGCAACACACTACGAACATCCACGCACATATACCTAGCTAACTCAGAAGGAATTTCAAGATTTGTACCACCAATATTGATCGCTCTAGATGTTGATGAACTAGAACTAGAACTAAATGAAGAAACACTTGTATTGCTATCTAAATAATTCTATAAATTTTCGAAATTTATTGAAATATTTCTTGAAAAAGAACTTTGGGAAGTAGAATTACGCTGACCTTACTTTTCAGCATAATAATTACACATTTCACATAAAAAAGATTCTATATGCATATGTGATAATTCTATATTCAAAAAATCTGATATCCCCTTTACAGTAACTTTTGTGCCAGTTAAATTAAGTCGATGGTCCATTACTGAAGTTAAAAGAAATAAAGAAGGCAACTCTTCCCAATATTTACAAAATTTTAACTCCATAGAGCGGACTACATCAGCAAAAAGTGACAAATTCCTATATTTATGAAATGCTTGTGAAATGTAGAAAAAATGTTGTAAAACAAGAGAAGATGTATGATAATAAATATCGCTACATTCCTTTATAGCATCAAAAAAAGGTGGTAAGATTTTTTTCATATAAAATGCAATAGTCCATTCCCAATTGTCCAAATTATGTTCGGGTGCGAGTGTATGCCTACCATTATAATATAGTGAAATCATTTTATCGTAATTTTCACATGAATGTAATATTAGATATGTAGAGTTCCACCTATGTGTTACATCAGTGGCAAATGATTTCTCCTGTAATCCATACTCTGCACACAAACTATTAAATGCTTGTTTTCTTGCTGGTGACACAGTAATAAAATTTATTGCTTGTCTAATTTTATCTAAAGGTGAACTTATATGTTCTAATCCAGCTTTTACAATCAAATTAATAATATGACATACACAACGTAAATGAAAAAATAAATTTCCAAATACGGGGTTAAGATCAGCAATAAATCTTTCAATAACAACTTTGTTCATTGCAGCATTATCAAAAGTAAAATTTTGAGCCATATCTTGTATACCATATTCTTGTATGATATCTTTTAAAACCATGTATATGTTAGTGACATTATGGGGATATTCTACACATCTGAATGCAATAATTCTTTTATGTAGAAGCCACAGGTGATCAATATAATGAGCCGTAGTAGCAATATAACCTTTTCTATTACAATTGGTCCATAAATCAGAAGTAAATGATATAACACTATTAAAACTTTTTAGACCTTCAATAATAATTTGTTTTCTTCTGTTATATAATTTTATGCTATCCGAACGAAGAGTATTTCTAGAATAAGAAGAATACTTGGGTTGGAGATATTTCTGCACGAGTCGAGTAAAGTGTATTGAGTCTATTATCGTAAGCGGCATCTCTACTGCAGCCACGTATGCAGCCATTCCTTCACGAAATCTTTCCTGTGAATATACAAAGGTGGAAAGAGTAGAATTAGAACCGCCAAACACTAGTTCGGTCTATTTCGAGTCGAGATCGACTGGTTTCACTTTGCAACTCCTTAATACGTGTCTATTCAAATGCGTTGTGCTCGAACCAGGCTTCCAACTAAGTTCTTTGCCACAGTAATTGTAACATGCTTTCCAAATATCTACTCCATTTTGAACACCAATTTTTTTTCGTGTCATATGTTGCCAACAGTCCGATGATTCTTTTTTTGACTTTTTTGTCTCGAGTACTTGAACTTCTTCCTCTTCAATATCCTCCAAAGTAATTGGAACATTTCACATGCATCATAGTTAGATGGAGTACTCGAGCTACCGCCAAACTGATTAATTTCATCACTTGTAAAATCCATAATAACTAGTATAATAAAAAATACTGAATATTATACTGTAGAGTGAAAGAAATTGAATATATTAATTATTATATGAGAAGTGAGAAAGAAGAAATTGAAACTTGAATGATTGAATCTGAATCTATAATATAGAAATAATGCGAATTAAAATCGATAACAAAGTGATTTAAAACTTCAAAAATCATCCCGTATTTATAGATAAAAAAACCCGCGTTATTTTTCAAATTTGAATTTCAAAATTTACACGATTAAAGATAACACTATGTAAAAAATGCAGCTATAGCTGCCTAAGGCAACTGTAACCTGCTACCGTGCAACAGCTGATTTTTTTTAATTTTTTTCCTTTAATTTGCTCGGGCCGAGCATTATTGTCACGGGCCAAAAATGGCCCGTGTGGCTCGGCGAGCCACGCGAGCTTGCTCGGGCTCGGGTTGACCTCTTATTTTGAGGCTCGATCACTACGAGCCAAGAGCCGAGCGAGCTCGGGCTTTTCCCAAGCCGAGCCATGAGTCGCCCGAGTCACCGAGCCTTTTTGACACCCCTATCGCTAAGTTTCCATTGACCTAAATCACTACAAGCTGAGAATCACTGCTTGCCTGGGGCCACCTGACCTGCATTTCCTTTGCAAGTCTAAGGCCTACTAGTAGGGCCTCATATTCAGCAGTGTTGTTCGAGACTTTGAAGTCAAACCTTATTGCGTAATTTAGCTTGTGGCCTTCGGAGCTTTCCAAGACGATCACTGCCTCGGATCCAGCCTTTCCTGAGGATCCATCTACGAACAATTTCCATGTTGGGGGCTTGACTAGTTCCATTGTTGTCTCCATTTCTGGGGCTTTGACAAGCTCAGCCACAAAATCTACAAGGGTCTGGCCCTTGATGGCATGTCGAGGTCGGAACA